GGGGGGGTGGAGCATGCCAAGGTGGGTGGCTGTCTCCCTGAACCTGCTCTCTGCACCTAGATCCTTGCCTCTCTGGAGACCATGGCTGCCCCAAGCAGAGGAGGGAACTGAGCGGCGGAGGGAGCAGATGGACACTGTGAGTTTTACACTCCCTGCTGCATCCCACTCAGTTTCCTGACGGCAGGGTTGAGGTCCCTGTTTGGCAGCAAACCAGCCTCTCGTCCCAGTCTCCTTCACCCCTGTCACTGTTGCACGGCAGCAGCATGCCCATGTCCCCTGGTGCATCACCCCTCTGCCCCACAAGCCACGCAGCCTCGCCAGGGAAGGGCCAGGCAGATCCCTCCGGGCAGCCACGGCCAGTACAGCTGCGTGGCGGGCGCCTGAAAGGGCCGCCTGTTCCCAAGCCTGGCGGGCATTCCTCGGAGGGTTAACGGGATGCCTGGGCAGGAGCTTTTGAGTACAGGAGGGGAGATTACACTGGCAAAAAGCCCGTCAGGGGTGGGGGTAGATGCCAGCTTCCTTCGCTGGACCTAAACCCAGGGGCAGAGGAGGGGGGAAGATGCCGGTTTCAGGACAGGCTGACCCTGCAGGGATCTGCCTGGTCTTTGGGGCCTCACCCCTGCCAACGAGAGAGAAATGTCCCTGCCCTCACTGCCAGCTGGGGTCCCCATGCTCCCTGCTGCCCTTGTGCCAGAAACTGGCAGTGGGCACTCCAGGGCGGGTCCCACCGCGACCGTATCTCCTCAGGCTTGGACTCTGGAGGCAGCAGGGGATGGCGGCCCTGACAAAGCGCTGGCAATTTTCCATCACCCAGTCAGGTATGTCCCCTGCCGCCGGTGCCCTGGCTGGGGCCGAGGGCAGTGTACAGGCAGGGGCTCTCACCCCAGGTGTCCCCAAGCAGGCTCCTCTGGCCCAAGTCCAAGTCCTTTGACTATCTGTACGGCGTGGGGGAGAAGCTGCTGCAGAACTTCCCAGTGCAGGCCACGCTCTGCTTCTATGAGGACTCGGACAGTGAGGAGGAGGAGGAGGAAGAGGATGAAGAGGATGAAGAAGAGGTGGAAGAAGAGGCAGGGGACATGGCGGCAGGTCCCCCACTGCAGGCAGGCAGCCCTGGCAGGCCGGCGTGAAGGCACAGCAAAG